GGTCGGCGCCGGGTGGAAGAAGAGCCAGGTCGACGAGGCTCTCTACTGCAAGGTCGGAGAGGACGGAGTGGCCTGCTGGGTGCTGGTCTACGTCGACGACCTACTTGCCGCCAGCAGTAGCACCGCGATGTTGAAGGAGCTGAAGGAGCTGCTGGAAGCCGCCTTCGAGCTGCGTGAGATCTCGCCGGTGCAGAAGTACCTCGGGCTGGAGATCGTCCGCGACAGGTCGGCGGGGAAGCTGTGGCTGCACCAGCAGGGCTACGCCGACAAGCTGCGTAGGCGCTTCATCGACGAGGAGCAGACCGGGCGCACCCCGAAGACGCCGGTCTCTGTCGCCGCCTACGCTGAGCTCACGTTCGATGATGAGGAGGCACAGGAGCGGCAAGAGGAGGAGTACCGGCAGAAGGTCGGCTCGCTGCAGTTCGCGGCGACGACGACGAGGCCGGACATCGCCTTCGCCTGCAGCAAGCTGGGGAGCGGTCTCATGGTGAGGAGCGACCAGCACTGGCGTGAGGTCGACCGCTGCCTCGTCTACCTCGCCAATACGCGTGACACCGCCCTGGAGTTCGGCGGTGGACCTGAGTCGCTGGACCTGGTCGGCTACGTGGACGCCGACGACGCCGGTGACAAGCAGAACAGGACGAGCACGAGTGGCTACGTGTTCGTCTATGGAGGGGCTGCAGTCTCCTGGTCGAGCCAGCGCATCAAGTGTGCGACGTTGTCGTCGACTGAGTCGGAGTACGTGGCAGCCACCGAAGCCGGCAAGGAAGGACGTCGACTTCGTTTCCTCCTTGCAGAGTTCCGGCAGCTGGATGCCGGGAAGCCGACCGTCCTTCGGGTGGACAACAAGTCGGCTATCTCAGTCGCCGAGGGCATGGGGTTGACGGGCAACCTCAAGCACATGGAGCGGCGACAGGCCTGGCTGCAGCACATGGTGAAGCGCGGGAAGTTCTCGTTGAGGTACATCCCAACCACTGAGCAGCCGGCCGACTTCCTGACGAAGGCGCTGCACTATCCGGCCTTCAACCGGTGCTCCGTCGCAATCGGCCAGGTGCGCTTGGCCGACGTGGGCGACGGGGACAACGACGTGCAGCAGTAGGTGCCATGCCCTCTTGCATGGCTTGTGCGGTGGACGACGTGCGGTGTGTTGGGTGCACGTCGACGAGCTATTCTCCGAGGAGTATTGCCGAGTGGACTTGAGGGGGACCAAGCGTGAACGCGGCAGGGGAGTGTCAACGGGAGTTGTATGTTGGCCCCGTCCACGCTTGGGCGGAGCCGACATCGTGGTCGGGTGTTAGGGGAGCAGCCGACCTGCAGCAGTGGGCGAGGTGGTCGACGAGAAGGTCGACCTGCACGGGGACCACTGCACGGGCGCCGACTTCGGGGTGGCGCCAACTTCGGGGAGGTCGACTTAAGCGTCGACCTGCGGAGGACGTCAACTTGGGAAGCCGACTTTGGTGGTCGGCTGATGTGCTGGTCGACCTGCGGGTGGTTGACTGGACCGGTGGTCGACGAAGGAGGGGTCGACGTCGAGTAGCAGGACGTCGAGCAGTCAGGACGTCGAGCAGTCGGGCGTCGAGCAGTCGGGCGTCGAGTGACATGGTCGTCGACCGAGGGGCATGGTCGACCCGGTGAGGTCGACAACGAGGTGGTCGTCGACTTGGGAGGTCGACGGACACGTACGGGAGTTGCTGGTCGATGTGGTTGCCCGGTCGACCAGGTTACCTGGGTGACGAAGTGCTGCGGAGGAGTGCGACGGTCGCCCAGGCGAAGCTGGCGAGACCGACCTTGGTGGTGGTATCACGAGGTCGTCGTGGCAGATCAGAGGTAGCCGTCAGCCCGAGGCTGACGTGGTGTGTGTGTGCTGTGCAGGTGATGAGGCTCGGCATACCAATCATCTGCACGCACCTGCAAAGCGGGTGCACTGCTGGCACACCGTCGACCTGAAGCATTGGCAAGCTGTCGACTTTGCTCTGCTGGAGCGCGGTCGACCAAGTCGTGTTGGAATGCGGTCGACCATGCTGTGCTGGCAATTGACCAACCTGAATGCTAGCTCTGATGTAGTCTTGCATTGCCAACTTCATTGTACCATTGTTGTGATCTTTTCTTAGTGAAACTCTTGCCAAATTGCCCCGTGAACTAGCAAGCAGTGTTAGCACTGGGAAAAGGTCTAAGGACCAACGAACGCAGAGATCACACGAGCACACGTGCCTAGCCAGTAGTCTAGCTCCCGTTGTAGTAGTTATCTCCGCAGCAAGCTCCTGGACCAGGCAAGCTCCTCGACCAGGCAAACTCTTAGACCAGGCAAGCTCCTGGACCACCCAAGCTTCTTGACCAGGCAAACTCGTGGACTAGGCACGCTCCTGGACCAGGCAAGCTCCTGGAATAGGCAAGCCCCTAGACCAGGCAAGCTCCTGGACCAGGCAAGCTCTTGGACCACGCAAGCTCTTGGACCAGGCAAGCTCTTGGACCAGGCAAGCTAGTGGACTAGGCAAGCTTCTGGACCAGGCAAGCTCCTGGACCAGGCAAGCTCTTGGACTAGGCAAGCTCCTGGACCAGGCAAGCTTCTAGACCAGGCAAACTCGTGGACCAGGCACGCTCCTGGACCAGACAAGCTCCTGGACCAAGCAAGCTCCTGGACTAGGCAAGCTCTTGGACCAAGCAAGCTCCTAGACCAGGCAAGCTTCTGGACCAGGCAAACTCGTGGACCAGGCACGCTCCTGAACCACGCAAGTTCCTGGACTAGGCAAGCTCCTAGACCAGGCAAGCACCTCGACCAGGCAAGCTCCAGGACCACGCAAGCTCTTGGACCACGCAAGCTCTTGGACCAGGCAAGCTCCTGGACCAGGCAAGCTCATGAACCAGGCACGCTCCTAGACTAGGCAAGCTCCTGGACCAGGCAAGCTCCTGGACCAGGCAAGCTCCTAGACTAGGCAAGCTCTTGGACTAGGCACGCTCCTAGACCAGGCAAGCTCTTGGATCAGGCAGGCTTCTGGACAAAGCAAGCTCCTGAACTAGGCACACTCCTGGACCGGGCACGCTCCTGGACCAGGCAAGCTCCTAGACCAGGCAAGCTCCAGAACCAAGCAAGCTCCTAGACCAGGCACGCTCGTGGACGAGGCATGCTCCTGAACCAAGCAAGCTCCTAGACCAAGCACGCTCCTGGACCAGGCAAGCTCCTGGACAAGGCAAGCTCCGGGACCACGCATGCTCTTGTACCAGGCACGCTCCTAGACCAGGCAAGCTCTTGCACCATGCACGCTTCTGGACCAAGCAAGCTCCTGGACTAGGCAAGCTTTTGGACCAGGCACGCTCTAGGACCAGGCAAGCTCCTGGACCAGGCAAGCTCCTGAACCAGGCATGCTCCTGGATCAAGCAAGCTCCTGGACCAGGCAAGCTCCTGGACCAGGCAAGCTCATGGACCAGGCAAGCTCCTGGACCAGGCACGCTCCTGGACCAGGCAAGCTCATGGACCAGGCAAGCTCATGGACCAGGCAAGCTCCTGGACCAGGCACGCTCGTGGACTAGGCACGCTCTTAGACCACGCAAGCTCTTGGACCAGGCAGGCTCGTGGACCAGGCACGCTCAGGGACCAGGCAAGCTCCTGGACAAGGCAAGCTCCTGGACCAGGAAGCTCCTGGACCAGGCACGCTCGTGGACCAGGCACGCTCCCGAACAAGGCGAGCTCAAGGACCACGCAAGCTCTTGGACCAGGCATGCTCCTGGACGAGGCAAGCTCTTGGACCATGCAAGCTTGTGGACCAAGCAAGCTCCTGAACCAGGCAAGCTCATGGACCACGCAAGCTCCTGGACCAGGCAAGCTCTTGGACCTAGCAAGCTCTTGGACCAGGCAAGCTCCTGGACCAGGCAAGCTCCTGGACCAGGCACGCTCGTGGACGAGGCACGTTCCTGGACCAGGCAAGCTCTTGGACCAGGCAAGCTCGTGGACCAGGCAAGCTCTTGGACCAGGCAAGCTCCAGATCAGGCAAGCACCTAGACCAGGCAAGCTCCTGGACCAGGCACGTTCCTGGACCAGGCAAGCTCCTGGACCAGGCACGTTCCTGGACCAGGCAAGTTCCTAGACCAGGCAAGCTCCTGGACCAGGCACGTTCATGGACCAGGCAAGCTCCTAGACCAGGCACGTTCCTGGACCAGGCAAGTTCCTGGACCAGGCAAGCTCCATATCAGGCAAGCTCCTAGACCAGGCAAGCTCCTAGACCAGGCACGGTCGTGGACCAGGCACGCTCCTTTCCAGGTCCACATCCACGACCATGTCCACGTCCACGTCCACGTTCACGTCCACGTCCACGACCATGTCCACTTCTACGTGCACGTGTACGTCCACGTCCATGTCCACGTCCACGTCCACGTTCACGTCCACGTCCATGTCCACGTCTTTGCCACGTTCACGTCCACGTCCACGACCATGTCCACGTCCACATTCACGTCCACGTCCACGTCCACGTCCACGTCCACGTCCATGTCCACGTCCACGTCCACGTCCACGTCCACGTCCACGACCATGTCCACGTCCACGTCCACGTCCACGTCCACATCCATGTCCACGTCCCTGTCCTCCACGTCCACGACCACGTCCACGTCCACGTCAACCTCCACGTCCACGACCACGTCCACGTCCACGTCAACCTCCACGTCCACGACCACGTCCACGTCCACGTCCACGTCCACGTCCTCCACGTCCACGTCCACGTCCTCCACATCCACGTCCTCCACGTCCACGTACACGTTCACGTCCACGTCCACGTCCACGTCTACGACCACGACCACATCCACGTCCATGTCCACATCCACGTTCATGTCCACGTCCACGTCCACGTCCACGTCCACGTCCACGTCCATGTCCACGTCCACGTCCACATCCACGTCCATGTCCACGTCCACGACCACGTCCACGACCACGACCACGTCCACGTCAAGATCCACGACCATGTCTACGTCCACGTCCACGTCCACGACCATGTCCACGTCCACGTCCACGTTCACGTCCACGTCCACGTATCAATGTTCACGTCCACGTCCACGTCCACGTCCGCGTCCACGTCCAAGTCCACGTCCGCGACCACGTCCACGTCCACGTCCACGTTCACGTCCACGTTCACGTTCACGTCCACGTGCACGTGCACGTCCACGTTCACGTTCACGTCCACGTTCACGTCCACGTCCACGTCCACGTTCACGTCCACGTCCACGTTCACGTTCACGTTCACGTTCACGTCCACGTCCACGTTCACGTCCACGTCCACGTCCACGTCCACGTCCACGTCCATGTCCACGTCCACGTCCACGTCCACGTCCACGTCCACGTCCACGACCATGTCCACGTCCACGTCCACGTCCACGTCCACGTCCACATCCATGTCCACGTCCAAGTCCTCCACGTCCACGACCACGTCCACGTCCACGTCAACCTCCACGTCCACGACCACGTCCACGTCCACGTCAACCTCCATGTCCACGACCACGTCCACGTCCACGTCCACGTCCACGTCCTCCACGTCCACGTCCACGTCCTCCACATCCACGTCCTCCACGTCCACGTACACGTTCACGTCCACGTCCACGTCCACGTCTACGACCACGACCACATCCACGTCCATGTCCACATCCACGTTCATGTCCACGTCCGCGTCCACGTCCAAGTCCACGTCCGCGACCACGTCCACGTCCACGTCCACGTTCACGTCCACGTTCACGTTCACGTCCACGTGCACGTGCACGTCCACGTTCACGTTCACGTCCACGTTCACGTCCACGTCCACGTCCACGTTCACGTCCACGTCCACGTTCACGTTCACGTTCACGTTCACGTTCACGTCCACGTCCACGTTCACGTCCACGTCCACGTCCACGTCCACGTCCACGTCCATGTCCACGTCCACGTCCACGTCCACGTCCACGTCCACGTCCACGACCATGTCCACGTCCACGTCCACGTCCACGTCCACGTCCACATCCATGTCCACGTCCAAGTCCTCCACGTCCACGACCACGTCCACGTCCACGTCAACCTCCACGTCCACGACCACGTCCACGTCCACGTCAACCTCCATGTCCACGACCACGTCCACGTCCACGTCCACGTCCACGTCCTCCACGTCCACGTCCACGTCCTCCACATCCACGTCCTCCACGTCCACGTACACGTTCACGTCCACGTCCACGTCCACGTCTACGACCACGACCACATCCACGTCCATGTCCACATCCACGTTCATGTCCACGTCCACGTCCACGTCCACGTCCACGTCCATGTCCACGTCCACGTCCACGTCCACGTCCATGTCCACGTCCACGACCACGTCCACGACCACGACCACGTCCACGTCAAGGTCCACGACCATGTCTACGTCCACGTCCACGTCCACGACCATGTCCACGTCCACGTCCACGTTCACGTCCACGTCCACGTATCAATGTTCACGTCCACGTCCACGTCCGCGTCCACGTCCACGTCCACGTCCGCGACCACGTCCACGTCCACTTCCACGTTCACGTCCACGTTCACGTTCACGTCCACGTGCACGTGCACGTCCACGTTCACGTTCACGTCCACGTCCACGTCCACGTTCACGTCCACGTCCACGTTCACGTTCACGTTCACGTCCACGTCCACGTCCACGTTCACGTTCACGTCCACGTCCACCTGCACGTCCACGTCCACGTCCACGTCCACGTCCACGTCCACGTCCACGACCACGTCCACGTCCACGTCCACGTCCATGTCCACGACCACGTCCATGTCCACGTCCACGTATCAATGTCCACGTCCACGTCCACGTCCACAACCACGTCCACGACCACGTCAACGCCCACGTCCACGTCCACGTCCACGTCCACGCCCACGTCAACGCCCACGTCCACGTCCACGTCCACGTCCACGTCCATGTCCACGACCACGTCCACGTCCACGTCCACGTCCATGTCCACGTCCACGTCCACGTCAACGTCCACGTCCACGTCCATGTCCACGTCCACGACCACGTCCACGACCACGACCACGTCCACGTCAAGGTCCACGACCATGTCTACGTCCACGTCCACGTCCACGACCATGTCCACGTCCACGTCCACGTCCACGTCCACGTCCACGTATCAATGTTCACGTCCACGTCCACGTCCACGTCCGCGTCCATGTCCACGTCCACGTCCACGTCCACGTTCACGTCCACGTTCACGTTCACGTCCACGTGCACGTCCACGTCCACGTTCACGTTCACGTCCACGTTCATGTCCACGTCCACGTTCACGATCACGTTCACGTTCACGTTCACGTCCACATTCACGTCCACGTTCACGTCCACGTCCACGTTCACGTCCACGTCCACGTTCACGTTCACGTTCACGTCCACGTGCACGTCCACGTCCACGACCACGTCCACGTCCACGTCCACGACCACGTCCACGTCCGCGTCCACGTATCAATGTTCACGTCCACGTCCACGTCCCCGTGCACGTTCACGTCCACGTCCACGTCCACGTCCACGTCCACGTCCGCGTCCACGTCCGCGTCCACGTCCGCGTCCACGTCCGCGTCCACGTCCGCGTCCACGTCAGTCCACGTCCAAGTCCTCCACGTCCAAGTCCTCCACGTCCACGACCACGTCCACGTCCACGTCCACGACCACGTCCACGACCACGTCCACGTCCACGACCACGTCCACGACCACGTCCACGTCCACGACCACGTCCACGACCACGACCACGTCCACGTCCACGTCCATGTCCAAGTCCTCCACGTCCATGACCACGTCCACGTCCACGTCCACGTCCACGTCCAAGTCCTCCACGTCCAAATCCTCCACGTCCATGACCACGTCCACGACTACGTCCACGTCCATGTCCACGTCCACGTCCACGACCACGTCCACGTCCACGTGCACGACCACGTCCACGTCCACGACCACGTCCACGACCATGTCCAGGTCCACGTCCACGTCGATATCCACGTCCATGTCCACGTCCACGTCCACGTCCACGTCCACGTCCACGACCACGTCCACGTCCACCTCCACGTCCAAGTCAACGACCACGTCAACGTCCACGTCTACGTCCATGTCCACGTCCACGTCCACGTCCATGTCCACGACCACGTTCACGTCCACGTCCACGTCCACGTCCATGTCCACGTCAACGTCCACGTCCACGTCCACGTCAACGTCCACGTCCACGTCCACGTCCACGTCCACGTCTACGTCCACGTCCACGTCCACGTCCACGACCATGTCTACGTCCACGTCAAGGTCCACGACCATGTCTACGTCCACGTCCACGTCCACGACCATGTCCACGTCCACGTCCACGTTCACGTCCACGTCCACGTATCAATGTTCACGTCCACGTCCACGTCCGCGACCACGTCCACGTCCACGTCCGCGACCACGTCCACGTTCACGTTCACGTCCACGTCCACGTCCACGTCCACGTTCACGTTCACGTCCACGTCCACGTCCACGTTCACGTCCACGTCCACGTTCACGTTCACGTTCACGTTCACGTTCACGTCCACGTCCACGTCCACGTTCACGTCCACGTCCACGTCCACGTGCACGTCCACGTCCACGTCCACGTCCACGTCCACGTCCACGTCCACGACCACGTCCACGTCCACGTCCACGTCCACGACCACGTATCAATGTTCACGTCCACGTCCACGTCCGCAACCACGTCCACGACCACGTCAACGCCCACGTCCACGTCCACGTCCACGTCCACGCCCACGTCAACGCCCACGTCCACGTCCACGTCCACGTCCACGTCCACGTCCACGTCCACGTCCACGTCCACGTCCACGTCCACGTCCATGTCCACGTCCACGTCCACGTCCACGTCCACGTCCATGTCCACGTCCACGACCACGTCCACGACCACGACCACGTCCACGTCAAGGTCCACGACCATGTCTACGTCCACGTCCACGTCCACGACCATGTCCACGTCCACGTCCACGTCCACGTCCACGTATCAATGTTCACGTCCACGTCCACGTCCACGTCCGCGTCCATGTCCACGTCCACGTCCACGTCCACGTTCACGTCCACGTTCACGTTCACGTCCACGTGCACGTCCACGTCCACGTTCACGTTCACGTCCACGTTCATGTCCACGTCCACGTTCACGATCACGTTCACGTTCACGTTCACGTCCACGTTCACGTCCACGTCCACGTTCACGTCCACGTCCACGTTCACGTCCACGTCCACGTTCACGTTCACGTTCACGTCCACGTGCACGTCCACGACCACGTCCACGTCCACGTCCACGTCCACGTCCACGACCACGTCCACGTCCGCGTCCACGTATCAATGTTCACGTCCACGTCCACGTCCACGTCCCCGTGCACGTTCACGTCCACGTCCACGTCCACGTCCGCGTCCACGTCCGCGTCCACGTCCGCGTCCACGTCCCCGTCCACGTCCGCGTCCACGTCAGTCCACCTCCAAGTCCTCCACGTCCAAGTCCTCCACGTCCACGACCACGTCCACGTCCACGACCACGTCCACGACCACGTCCACGTCCACGACCACGTCCACGACCACGTCCACGTCCACGACCACGTCCACGACCACGACCACGTCCACGTCCACGTCCACGTCCACGTCCAAATACTCCACGTCCAAGTCCTCCACGTCCACGACCACGTCCATGACCACGTCCACGTCCACGTCCACGTCCAAGTCCTCCACGTCCAAGTCCTCCACGTCCATGACCACGTCCACGACCACGTCCACGTCCACGTCCATGTCCACGTCCACGTCCACGACCACGTCCACGTCCACGTGCACGACCACGTCCACGTCCACGACCACGTCCACGACCATGTCCAGGTCCACGTCCACGTCCATATCCACATCCATGTCCACGTCCACGTCCACGTCCACGTCCACGACCACGTCCACGTCCACGTCCACCTCCACGTCCAAGTCAACGACCACGTCCTCCACGTCCATGTCCACGTCCACGTCCACGTCCACGTCCACGTCCACGTCCACGTCCACGCCCACGTCCACGTCCACCACGTCCATGTCCACGTCCATGTCCACGTCCACGTCCACGTCCACGTCCACGTCCACGTCCATGTCCACGTCCATGTCCACGTCCACGTCCACGTCCACGTCCACGTCCATGTCCACGTTCATGTCCACGTCCATGTCCACGTCCATGTCCACGTCCACGTCCATGTCCACGTCCACGTCCATGTCCATGTCCACGTCCACGTCCACGTCCACGTCCATGTCCATGTCCACGTCCACGTCCACGTCCACGTCCACGTCCATGTCCACGTCTACGTCCACGTCCACGTCCACGTCCATGTCCACGTCCATGTCCACGTCCACGTCCACGTCCACGTCCACGTCCATGTCCACGTCCAGGTCCACGTCCATGTCCACGTCCACGTCTATGTCCACGTCCATGTCCACGTCCACGTCCACGTCCACGTCCACGTCCACGTCCATGTCCACGTCCATGTCCAAGTCCATGTCAACGTCCATGTCCACGTCCATGTCCAAGTCCATGTCCACGTCCAAGTCCACGTCCATGTCCACGTCCATGTCCACGTCCAAGTCCTCCACGTCCACGTCCACGTCCATGTCCACATCCACGTCCATGTCCACGTCCACGATCACATCAATCCACATCCAAATCCTCCACGTCCAAGTCCTCCACGTCCACGTCCACGTCCATGTCCATGTCCACGTCCACGTCCAGGTCCACGTCCACGTCTACGTCCATGTCCAGGAGCTTGCCTCGTCCAAGAGCTTGCCTTGTCCAAGAGCTTGCGAGGTCTAGGAGCTTGCCTAGTCTAGGAGCTCGCCTGGTCCAAGACCTTGCCTGGTCGAGGAGCGTGCCTGGTTCAGGAGCTTGCCTTTTCCACGAGCGTGCCTGGTTCAGGAGCTTGCCTTGTCCACGAGCTTTCTTGGTCCGTGAGCTTGCCTGGTCCAGGAGCTTGCGAGGTCCAGGAGCTTGCCTGGTCCAAGAGCTTGCCTGGTCCAAGAGCTTGCGTGGTCCAGGAGCTTGCCTGGTCCAAGAGCTTGCCTGGTCTAGGAGCTTGCCTAGTCCAGGAGCTTGCCTAGTCTAGGATCTTGCCTGGTCCAAGAGCTTGGGTGGTCCACGAGCTTGCCTGGTCTAGGAGCTTGCCTGGTCCAGGAGCTTGCCTGGTCCTGGAGCGTGCCTAGTCTACGAGTTTGCCTGGTCCAGAAGCTTGCCTGGTCTAGGAGCTTGCATGGTCCAGGAGCGTGCCTAGTCCAGGTGCTTGCTTGGTCCAGGAGCTATCCTGGTCCAGGAGCTTGCCTGGTCCAGGAGCTTGCCTGTTCGAGGAGCGTGCCTGGTCCAAGAGCTTGCCTGGTCCAAGAGCGTGCATGGTCCACGAGCGTGCCTGGTCCATGAACTTGCCTGGTCCAGGAGCTTGCCTAGTCAAGGAGCTTGCCCCGTCCAGGAGCTTGCCTGGTCCAGGAGCTTGCATGGTTCAGGAGCTTGTCTGGTCTAGGAGCTTGTCTAGTCCAGGTTCGTGCCTGGTCCACGAGTTTGCCTGGTCCAGAAGCTTGCCTGGTCCAGGAGCTTGCCTGGTCTAAGAGCTTGCATGGTCCAGGAGCGTGCCTGGTCCAAGAGCTTGCCTGGTCCATGAGCTATCCTTGTCCAGGAGCTTGCCTGGTCCAGGAGATTGCCTGGTCTAAGAGCTTGCCTGTTCTAGGAGCGTGCCTGGTCCAAGAGCTTGCCTAGTCCAAGAGCGTGCATGGTCCACGAGCGTGCCTGGTCCAGGAGCTTGCCTGGTCCAGGAGCTTGCCTGGTCAAGGAGCTTGCCTGGTCCAGGAGCTTGCCTGGTCCAGGAGCTTGCCTGGTCCACGAGACTGCCTGGTCCAAGAGCTTGCCTCGTCCAGGAGCGTGCACGGTCCACGAGCGTGCCTGGTCCAGGAGTTTCCCTGGTCCAGGAGCTTGCGTGGTCCAATAGCTTGCTTGGTCCAGAAGCCTGCCTGGTCCAAGAGCTTGCCTGGTCTAGGAGTGTGCCTGTTCCAAGAGCTTGCATGATCCAGGAGCTTGCGTGGTCGAGGAGCTTGCCTGGTCCAGGAGCTTGACTGGTCCAGGAGCTTGCCTGGACCAAGAGCTTGCCTGGTCCAAGAGCTTGCGTGGTCCTGGAGCTTGCCTGGTCCAGGAGCTTGCCTGGTCTAGGAGCTTGCCTGGTCCACGAGCTTGCCTCGTCCAGGAGCGTGCCAGGTCCAGGAGTTTGCCTGGTCCAGAAGCTTGCCTGGTCCAGGAGCTTGCATGCTCCAGGAGCGTGCCTGGTCCAGGAGCTTGCCTGGTCCAGGAGCTATCCTGGTCCAGGAGCTTGCCTGGTCCAGGAGCTTGCGTGGTCCAGGAGCTTGCCTGGTCCAGGAGCTTGCCTCTTCCACGAGCATTCCTGGTCCAGGAGCTTGGCTTGTCTAGGAGCTTTCTTGGTCCGTTAGCTTGCCTGGTACAAGAGCTTGCTTAGTCCAGGAGATTTCCTGGTCCAAGAGCTTGCCTGGTCCAGTAGCTTGCCTGGTCCAACAGCTTGCCTGGTCCAGGAGCTTGCGTGGTCCAATAGCTTGCTTGATCCAGAGGCCCAAGAGCTTGCCAGGTCCACGAGCGTGCCTGGTCCAAGAGCTTGCGTAGTGCAGGAGCTTGCGTGGTCCAGGAGCTTGCCTGGTCCAAGAGCTTGCCTGGTCCAGGAGCTTTGCATGGTCCAAGAGCTTGCCTGGTCAAGGAGCTTGCCTGGTCTAGGAGCTTGCCTGGTCCAGGAGCTTGCCTGGTCCAGGAGCGTGCCTGATCCACGAGTTTGCCAGGTCCAGAAGCTTGCCTGGTCTAGGAGCTTGCCTAGTCTAGCAGCTTGCATGGTCCAGGAGCTTGCCTGGTCCAGGAGTTGCCTGTTCCACGAGTGTGCCTGGTCCTGGAGCTTGCCTTGTCCAAGAGCTTTCTTGGTCCGTTAGCTTGCCTCGTCCAGGAGCTTGCCTGGTCCAGGAGCGAGCATGGTCTACGAGCGTGCTTGGTCCAGGAGCTTGCCTAGTCCAGGAGCTTGCCTGTTCAAGGAGCTTGCCTGGTTCGGGAGCTTGCCTGGTCCTGGAGCTTGCATGGTCCACGAGCCTGCCTGGTCCAAGAGCTTGCCTGGTTTAAGAGCGTGCATGGTCCACGAGTGTGCCTGGTCCAGGAGCTTGCCTGGTCCAGGAGCTTGCCTGGTCCAAAAGCTTGCTTGGTCCAGAAGCCTGCCTGGTCCAAGAGCTTGCCTGGTCAAGGAGCGTGCCTGGTCCAAGAGCTTGCGTGGTCTAGTAGCTTGCGCGGTCCAGGAGCTTGCCTGGTCCACGAGCTTGCCTGATCCACGAGCTTGCCTGGTCCACGAGCTTGCCTGGTCCAGGAGCTTGCCTGGTCCAGGAGCTTGCCTGGTCCATGAGCTTGCCTGTTCCACGAGCGTGCGTGGTCTAGGAGCTTGCCTTGTCTAGGAGCTTTCTTGGTCCAAGAGCTTGCCTGGTCCAGCAGCTTGCCTGGTCCAAGAGCTTGCCTGGTCCAAGAGCTTGCCTGGTCCAGGAGCTTGCCTGGTCCAGGAGCTTGCCTGGTCCAAGAGCTTGCCTGGTTGAGGAGCTTGCCCGGTCCACGAGCTTGCCTGGTCCAGGAGCGTGTCAATCCACTAGCTTGCGTGGTCCAAGAGCATGCCTGGTCCAGGAGTGTGCCTGGTCTACGAGCGAGCCTGGTCCAGGAGCTTGCCTGGTCTAGGAGCTTGCCTGGTCAAGGAGCTTGCCTGGTCCGGGAGCTTGCCTGGTCCAGGTGCTTGCTTGGTCCACGAGCCTGCCTGGTCCAAGAGCTTGCCTAGTCCAAGAGTGTGCATGGTCCACGAGCGTGCCTGGTCGAGGAGCTTGCCTAGTCCAAAAGCTTGCTTGGTCCAGAAGCCTGCCCGGTCCAAGAGCTTGCCTCGTCCAGGAGCGTGCCTGGTCCAAGAGCTTGCGTGGTCTAGGAGCTTGCGTGGTCCAGGAGCTTGCGTGGTCCACGAGCTTGCCTGGTCCAAGAGCTTGCCTTGTCCAAGAGCTTGCCTGGTCCAAGAGCTTGCATGGTCTAGGAGCTTGCCTGGTCCACGAGCTTGCCTGGTCTAGGAGCTCTCTTGGTCCAGGAGCTTGCCTGGTCCAGGAGCGTGCCTGGTCCAAAAACTTGCTTGGTCCAGGTGCTTCCCTGGTCTAGGAGCTTGCATGGTCCAGGAGCGTGCCTGGTCTAGGAGCTTGCCTGGTCCAGGAGCTATCCTGGTCCAGGAGCTTGCTTGGTCCAGGAGCTTGCCTGGTCCAGGAGCTTTCCTGTTCCATGAGCGTGCCTGGTCCAGGAGCTTGCCTTGTCGAGGAGCTTTCTTGGTCCAAGAGCTTGCCTGGTCCAGGAGCTTGCCTGGTCCAGGAGCTTGCCTGGTCCAAGAGCTTGCCTGATCTAGGAGCTTGCCTGGTCCAGGAGCTTGCCTGGTCCAGGAGCTTGCGTGGTCCAAGAGCTTGCCTCGTCGAGGAGCTTGCTTGGTCCACGAGCTTGCCTGGTCCAGGAGTGTGCCTGATCCACGAGCTTGCCTGGTCCAGGAGTGTGCCTGATCCACGAGCTTGCCTTGTCCAGGAGCGTGCCTGGTCTACGAGCGAGCCTAGTCCAGGAGCTTGCCTGGTCCTGGAGCTTGCCTGGTCAAGGAGCTTTTGTGGTCCAGGAGCTTGCCTGGTCCACGAGCCTGCGTGATCCAAGAGCTTGCCTGGTCCAGGAGCGTGCATAGTCCACGAGCGTGCCTGGTCCAGGAGCTTGCCTGGTCCATGAGCTTGCCTGGTCCACGAGCCTGCCTGGTCCAAGAGCTTGCCTGGTTCAGGAGCGTGCATGGTCCACGAGCGTGCCTGGTCTTGGAACTTGCGTGGTCTAGGACCTTGCCTGGTCCAAGAGCTTGCGTGGTCCAGGAGCGTGCCTGGTCCGAGAGCTTGCGTAGTCCAGGATCTTGCATGGTCCAAGAGCTTTCCTGGTCCAGGAGCTTGCCTGGTCCAGGAGCTTGCCTCGTCCAAGAGCTTGCCTGGTTCAAGAGCTTGCGAGGTCCAGGAGCTTGCCTGGTCCAGGAGCTTGCCTGGTCTAGGAGCTTGCCTGGTCAAGGAGCTTCCTTGGTCCAGGAGTGTGCCTGGTCCACGAGTTTGCCTGGTCCAGAAACTTGCCTGGTCCAGGAGCTTGCCTGGTCTAGGAGCTTGCATGGTCCAGGAGCGTGCCTGGTCCAGGAGCTTGCCAGGTCGAGGAGCTATCCTGGTCCAGGAGCTTGCCTGGTCCAGGAGCTTGCTTGGTCCAGGAGCTTGCCTGTTCCACGAGCGTGCCTGGTCCAAGAGCTTGCCTTGTCCAGGAGCTTTCTTGGTCCAGGAGCTTGCCTGGTCCAGGAGCTTGCCTGGTCCAAGAGCTTGCCTGGTCGAGGAGCTTGCCCGTTCCACGAGCTTGCCTGGTCCAGGAGCGTGTCGATCCACTAGCTTGCCTGGTCCAAGAGCGTGCCTGGTCCAGGAGTGTGCCTGGTCTACCAGCGAGCCTGGTCCAGGAGCTTGCCTGGTCCAGGAGCTTGCCTGGTCAAGGAGCTTGCCTGGTCCGGGAGCTTGCCTGGTCCAGGAGCTTGCCTGGTCCATGAGCCTGCCTGGTCCAAGAGCTTGCCTGGTCCAAGAGCGTGCATGGTCCACGAGCGTGCCTGGTCAAGGAGCTTGCCTGGTCCAAAAGCTTGCTTGGTCCAGAAGCCTGCCCGGTCCAAGAGCTTG